TGGTTCAGATTTTTTTATACTTTAAAAGGCAATATTTAATATAACTCCAACAAAAGCCAAATCAGAATTGGCCAAGCATATGAACATTGTACAAACTATTTTATAGCATGGTTCTGTGTACAAGAATGACTATGAAATTAAATCGTCTTATTTCTAGCCATATTCTTCCACAAACAATAACAGTCGCTGCTAAAAGGATTGCTTGCAACCTTACCAGAAATTTCTTGGGGGAACATTCTAGTCTTCAAAACAAATGGTATCTGTCAAATTCTTACTGCAAAATCTAAAATGTTAATCCATGTACTGTATTTCATTTGTAATAAGTCTTTGTGATAAGGTTAACACTTCAACACATAACGCAAATAAGAGAGCACCAAAAAATGAAAATTACTCTGCTTATGTTTCTGTATTAGAATTTTATTTGCTAAAGGGTAAAAACAGATTTGCAAAATTCACAGTTAACTTAAAACAATAGTTTTAAACCTTTTATTCCTAGCCCTTACTGCCTTCAGGAAGGAGAGAACATCTGGTTATTTAAGGAACACAATATGTTCACATTTTCTATGACTTTTGTTTCTAATTGGGTTTTAAAATTTTTTTGAATTTGAACAACTAGTTAGAACAATGTTTTTTAATCACTTCATATTTTTCAGACTGTCCTCCTATCCCTCTACTTATTTAGTGAATTGTTTTTAGAAATCTGCTCAGTGGTTCTAATATGATAAAAACAAGGAAATAAGAATTAGGATTGTGGTTTGAAGAGCTATGCATAGAAAACATATTTATGGTGAACAGAGTATAGGATGCTACAAACAGATACTTGACATCCAGTCTCTCTACATACAGCATATGTTTTAAAAAATTTCAAATAGTTCTTGGGCCACTTATATATATGGCAGTTTCATTTATTATAGCTGCAAATAAATTTCTAATACAACTGAAGAATTTGGGTGAGCAGTAACAGTAACGAGGATTCCACTATTTTTAAAACGAATGAAGCTACAGCTCTTGTGTGGAAAGTTGGTCAGAAGACCTGGGTTCAATTGCTGGCTCTGCCATTGACGAGCTGTATGACCTTGAATAGTCTTCTTCACCTTGATCCTTATGTGTTTATCTACAGAAGGAGGGGCTGGATTAGACTCTCTAGGTTCTCTGCAGGTCCAAAAATTTGACAGTCTAAGTAAAGTATGTTAACTACATTCTTTGTTAATGTCTTCCTTGTTCCATAATATTTGAAGGTGGTAACAAGTTTTCAAATAATTCTAACTCAGTAAATTAAGGAACTAGATGCCCTTTAAGTTCAAGCTGTAGGGTTAGTTCACCATCTTGTTAAAAATGGCAGCTGACAAATATATAATTGGCTACAGCTTCTGTGGAATGTGAATATGGGTTCCAGAAATACTCTCAGTGAATGAGATACATCTAGATTAGAGTCAGTAGAGTGTATTGGAAGAGGCTTAGCATTTGAGTCAGAATTCAATCCTACCTTTATTTTCTTAATACCAAGCATTGCAGAACACAAAGCTAAATACCAAAAAAAAAAA